ACAAGCAACAAAGCTCGCAGGACTCAGGGTCGAATGTGTCACCGACCCAACAGGCAGCATGACGGAGGCAAAAACAAGGAGAGTCACCCTAAGACAAAGGGACAGAGCAACCCTCAACTCGCACAAAGCGAGAGGGGACACAAGGGTCTCCACTAACGGACCCGAGAGCCCCCGGGGGGTTTTCCAGGGCCCCTAGACTGCGTCTGCTAAGGGTAATCCCAGGCAGGGCACTGCTAACCGGCACCCCAAACTACCAAGCAAACTGCTAAAGCTGAACCCACGGGACGTGTCCACTCGTAAGGGCGAAGCAGGGGGTGTCACCACACAAACGAACCTAATATAAGAGGGGGGGGGGAAACAAGGCAGACCCCCCTACCAGGCAAAAACAAATATAAAAGAAAAACCACACAAGTGGACAACGTACCCAGAGGGAACAGAGCCGGCCGCTGTCATAGGTGAAAACTAGCTACGCAGTACCCTGTGCCCCACCAGTGCTATAACTACCACTTACCCCAAGGTAAACAAGGGAGTAAAACCCCCAAACACTCAGGGCGGACAAACACCAAGCAGCGAAAAGCCAACAGAGGTAGACCCAAGGTGACTTGTGGAAGGCAACCCCAAGCCCCAAGGGCGGTACTTACAGGGCACTCAGGGAAGGTGACCCTAAGCACATGCAGTCCGAGTACCTGAGAATACTACTCCCAGCTCACACGACCACCGTAAGAGCAGCACTGCAAACAAGTCACAGCACTGAGACAAGACCGGAGCTGGAGCCACACGACCGTGCATTATCCTATCAGGCTCTGAACTGGGGCGGGGATCGCCGACGCGGAGGTCTGGGGCTCCCCCTTTCCCCTCCCGGGGAGGGGGGGAGTGGCGCAGACATGCAGCGCGACTCGTGTGACGTCATGCTTGTTAGTTCGTTTTCCTGGGGGAGTTCTGTCCACTCGTTTGTTGGTTTTTGTTGTTAACCAGAATAGGGGTTTGTTTTGTGGCGCTTACCTTTCTGGGTGCCTGTCCCGGTCGATGGCAGATATAGAATGCTCCAAATCACATGTGCATTTCTATGGGCCATTGCTCCCCCGTGCCTCTCTGAGGGGGCCAGGTTCTGGCTCGTGGTCCCCGGTAGGCCTAGAACTCCACCCACATCGACTGATGCAAAATAGTTAGGGTATCCATATCAGCCATGGATAGCTCCGGGGAGCCGTAGGGGCTCCCCCCAGAAAATCTACCACTTCATGCCCGTGCCACCTCTTGGGTGGCTTAGTCTTCATCAATCAACCAACCTCATTACTCCAGAGCTTTAAATATTATTACACCATGATGTGAGTGGCTCAGTCTGCAGATGCATAGATGGATCAGAAAAGCCTTTACTTCCTTACTAGCCTTTTTGGAAGATTTATACAAAGCATACTATCAAGATCAACAGAAAATAGGAAAAATAAACATACCTAACCTCAACTGAATGGGGTACAATAACACTTCCATGAAGGGAAGAGGGGGCCTTACTGGGCCACAAGCTAAGGACAATTCAAGGATCACAACCAACTGAGGTTGGGGTGCTGCACCAGCCCAATCAGGGCATGGCCCCAAGACACCCACAAACATGTGGAGAACAAACCTCAATATCTGCTTCAGTTAAAAGGGGCAGCTCAAAACCTGCTCCAGCCATAGCAGGAGACTGTAATGTAGTGTATCATCTCTTAACACACTACTGTAACATAAGCCATCAAGTATGAAGAGAGCTCCAGGAACCGAAGTCCACATTTGACACTGGTCACACACACAAAATTGAAATCAATCCTGCATCCAGCATGAGACATGCCCGAGTCAAAAGGGATGGCAGTCAGTGGGGAACATCCAGCATGAGACATGCCCGAGTCAAAAGGGATGGCAGTCAGGGGATAACATCCAGCATGAGACATGCCCGAGTCAAAAGGGATGGCAGTCAGGGGATAACATCCAGCATGAGACATGCCCAAGTCAAAAGGGATGGCAGTCAGGGATAACATCCAGCATGAGACATGCCCGAGTCAAAAGGGATGGTAGTCAGGGGATAACATCCAGCATGAGACATGCCCGAGTCAAAAGGGATGGTAGTCAGTGGGGAACATCCAGCATGAGACATGCCCGAGTCAAAAGGGATGGCAGTCAGTGGGGAACATCCAGCATGAGACATGCCCGAGTCAAAAGGGATGGTAGTCAGGGGATAACATCCAGCATGAGACATGCCCAAGTCAAAAGGGATGGTAGTCAGGGGATAACATCCAGCATGAGACATGCCCGAGTCAAAAGGGATGGTAGTCAGGGGATAACATCCAGCATGAGACATGCCCGAGTCAAAAGGGATGGCAGTCAGTGGGGAACATCCAGCATGAGACATGCCCGAGTCAAAAGGGATGGCAGTCAGTGGGGAACATCCAGCATGAGACATGCCCGAGTCAAAAGGGATGGCAGTCAGGGGGAAATCAAAATTCAATGCCAAACCAGTGGAGACACGAGAATACCTCTCAAACACTGTGGAGATACAAGAACACCTCTCAAACACAGTGGAGACATGAGGCCACCTCTCAAACACAGTGGAGACACCAGAACACCTCTCAAACACAGTGGAGACACGAGAACACCTCTCAAACACAGTGGAGACATGAGGCCACCTCTCAAACACAGTGGAGACACCAGAACATCTTTCAAACACAATGGAGACACCAGAACATCTCTCAAACACAATGGAGACACCAGAACACCTCTCAAACACAGTAGACACACCAGAACACCTCTCAAACACAGTGGAGACACCAGAACACCTCTCAAACACAGTGGAGACACCAGAACACCTGGAGACACCAGAACATCTTTCAAACACAATGGAGACACCAGAACATCTCTCAAACACAGTAGACACCAGACACCAGAACACCTCTCAAACACAGTGGAGACACCAGAACACCTCTCAAACACAGTGGAGACACAAGAACACCTCTCAAACACAGTAGAGACACCAGAACACCTCTCAAACACAGTGGAGACACCAGAACACCTCTCAAACACAGTGGAGACACCAGAACACCTCTCAAACACAGTGGAGACAAACACAGAACACACCAGAACACCTCTCAAACACAGCGGAGACTCTCAAACACAGTGGAGACACGAGAACAAGCACCTCTCAAACACAGTGGAGACACAAGAACACCTCTCAAACACAGTGGAGACACAAGAACACCTCTCAAACACAGTAGAGAGAACACCTCTCAAACACAGAGACACCAAACACAGTGGAGACACGAGAACACCTCTCAAACACAGTAGAGACACCAGAACACCTCTCAAACACAGTGGAGACACAAGAACACCTCTCAAACACAGTGGAGACACGGAACACCTCTCAAACACAGTGGAGACACGAGAACACCTCTCAAACACAGTGGAGACACCAGAACACCTCTCAAACACAGTGGAGACACCAGAACACCTCTCAAACACAGTGGAGACACCAGAACACCTCTCAAACACAGTAGAGACACCAGAACACCTCTCAAACACAGTGGAGACACAAGAACACCTCTCAAACACAGTGGAGACACAAGAACACCTCTCAAACACACAAGAACACCTCTCAAACACAGTCTCAAACACAGTGGAGACACCAGAACACCTCTCAAACACAGTGGAGGCACAAGAACACCTCTCAAACACAGTGGAGACACCACCTCTCAAACACAGAACACCTCTCAAACACAGTGGAGACACCACCTCTCAAACACAGTGGAGACACAAGAACACCTCTCAAACACAGTGGAGACACAAGAACACCTTTCAAACACAATGGAGACACCAGAACATCTCTCAAACACAGTAGACACCAGAACACCTCTCAAACACAGTAAGACACCAGAACACCTCTCAAACACAGTGGAGACACCAGAACACCTCTCAAACACAGTGGAGACACCAGAACACCTCTCAAACACAGTGGAGACACCAGAACACCTCAAACACAGTGGAGACACCAGAACATCTTTCAAACACAATGGAGACACCAGAACACCTCTCAAACACAGTGACACCAGAACACCTCTCAAACACAGTACACCAGAACACCTCTCAAACACAGTGGAGACACCAGAACACCTCTCAAACACAGTGGAGACACCAGAACACCTCTCAAACACAGTGGAGACACCAGAACACCTCTCAAACACAGTGGAGACACCAGAACACCTCTCAAACACAGTGGAGATACAAGAACACCTCTCAAACACAGTGGAGACACCAGAACACCTCTCAAACACAGTGGAGACATGAGGCCACCTCTCAAACGCAGTGGAGGCATGAGGACACCTCTCAAACACAGGTCTCAGGACCATCCTACCCCGTTACAAAACCCGACTTAGCTTAGTAGTTGTTTGCAGAGAAATGCTGTTCCTTGGGTTCCTGATTATGACTTGGAGGGTGTGTTGAGCATAATGAGCATTACTTGTGTGATATAGCTAGTCAGTCAATCAGTGGTAGGTTGAAAGACTTTACTATTTTCCTACCCCAATTATATAGCAAGGCCATTTGCAAAGTCTCCAGTCATGGTAGAAGGTTAAGCTGCACAGAGTCTGGCATCGGATGATGGATTAAGTGGACCATACCAGGTATAGACTCTTATTACAAGAGCAACCAAGAGGCTTCAGCTCAGAAAACAGTTGCCATTTAGGCTACATTGCCCAGTAACAAAAGGAACTTTAGTTTTATAATCATACATAAATGATATCACTTTCAAATTGCACCAATGAGACTCAAAATATTGCACAGAAATTTAATAATAAAAATAACAAAATTGTTGCCATGGGACTTCAGTGTTCAATTTCAATAACAACCAAAATGAAACAGAAACAGGGAAGGACATTAAAAAAATATCAAAACAAAACACTAAGGTATCTTTACTTTTAACACCTAATTAACAGAGATTACCACATGTCATAATGATAATATTACGGTAACAACTGTACCTTTCCACAAACGAACACAGCCGTCATCTCCTGAGGAAGCCAGGATGGTTCCTGTCATGTTCCAGCACACCCGCCACACTGTGGAGCCATGGTCATCAAACTGCCCTGCTTGACGCACTTCAAAGCTTGACAAACTGCCTTGGTTTTGAGTTGGGTCTTCTCTGTCAGCAACAAGAGAGGACACAGCAATAGCATATCTTATGCAAAACACACAACAACAACAAAAAATTGCATATAAGATACAATTTTATGATTTCATACATACAAACAAATGTACAAGAAAGTACAATGGGCAGTGAAAGAAATAGATTTTGGTTATGAAAATGGTACTCTTCTTGCAAAGCCACTAACATGTATATAATTTTGTGGAAAAATAATATAACAGTAGTAGGCATCCATGAGTCTCGGGAGACTATGGAGTTGCGCTCTGGTTGTCGGTCTGTAGTGGCTTCTCCAGTTTGCAAAGCCAGAGTAGGTTGATAAGAAGCTGTTATCCAAGCAACAGGTCCACAACAATTATACAGTATATCAATAATATGAAGCTTTGTTTTCTTGTAAATATCTGGAAATAGCAAGCTATGACTCACTTGGCAGGCTTCAGTGCTATAATCCTGACATCCTTAGTGGCAATACCCAACAGATGATACGACCGTCCTAGATTAGGAGCAAAAGCCAGGTCGTGTACAGGCTCCGTCACAGTCACCAAGGTTTCCACTTTCGTCCACTTGTGAGTATTGGCCGAAAATTCATAAATGAACACCTTTCCTCCTGAGGCAGGATTAGGGTCATCACTACCTACTGCAATTAAGGGTGAATGAAGCCTGAAAATAATGAAATACCAAAGTTTGTAATTCAAAATTTGTATAACAAAGCATTGTGAGAATAAAAATATCACTTAATCTCTTAAGGTACATTAAATCAATTTAACACATGAACTGTTCTAAAAAAAAATAAAGCTGACCAGCAATCAATCAATACCATTATTTTTAAATGATTGTACATTTATAATTGCCTTTATTTAATAAATTTAATGGGTATTATTCATTTATATAAGAAAATAAATCACACTAAATGCAACACTTAAAAGGGAAATGAAGCACGCTCACCTGAATTCCACTAGCACTGAGTACTTCCAGTGCAGAACTATTCACTAATCTACCTACTAGTCTACCAAAGAGTCAGAGTCAAGACAAAGAGTCTACCTACTCTTTGTACACCTGTCCTCTGCCTCTGTTACAACCAGCAAACAACTCTGCAATGCAGCTATCAGTCTCATAACAAAGCTGTATTTGAATAGTTCCCTACATCACCAGGAAGTAAATGTTGACCATTCCTAGCTGTGTTTGATCCTGTCCTTAAGGAAAGGAAGACACTACCCAAGAAAGCAACCATGTGATCTATCTCATATATATTATATTTCACCTACCTAGAAGGTGAAGGATTCCAAGAGATGCACGAACACTGTAGTTTACAATTCATCTCGTACTGTGGTGACCACTGGTTAAGATTCATTACATCAGGGGCTTCATAGATGCGCACCTATTTGAGAGAACAGAAAATTATCCAGTGCTATTTGATTGCGTTTATGATTCTGAACCTTACTCCAAGCCAATAAATCTACAGCTTAAATGACCAGCACCATTGATGTAATTCTTACAGAACCAGAACTATGCATTTCAATCAACGTTAAATTATTCCAAACTTACCACCCCTCCAGCGGAGCACGTGGCTAACTGTAGACCCTGAATCTTAGGGGCAAACTTGACATCCATAACAGAGGTACGAGAGTCCACCAGACCAGCTCGCTTGATCCATGTGCTGTGGACACCATGCCCTGAGTCACTGACTACAGAAAAAACAGATCTGAGATATTGTTGATAGAGATAATATGCTTCACTAACAAATCTAAACTTAACTCACCTATTTTAATATAGTGGATGAGGTTGTTTACCACATGTGCATAATATTTATTGCATAGAAATTCTGCATAGCATAATGAAAAGAATTAATTTGAACATGTCAAACTTCATTGTAACTGAACTACTGAATCCCAGACAAATTCTATTACCATGAGCCACCTGATAATCAAGAAAAAGTAGCCCCTTTTCATCATACTCTCATGTGCAGCAAATGTGGAAACAACTAACGGTTCCCAGAGTAAACCATGACATTATGTTCTATATTGTGTGTCCATACTTGGGACACTTCAGCACATGTATGCCAGATCCTTTGCATGTGGCTTGCTCCTGTTCTGCTTTGACTCTGCGACAAGATCTCCTTCCCTGACACTGTCAGCAAAGACTGACTGCCACCAGAAATATCTTCTCTGATATTTCTGTGTTTCTTCTTGTGGGGAGACTTTTTAAGTCAAACTGTACAGTGCTGTCTGACTTGGCTGTCCAAGTGAGGTCACTCAGCATGAGTTAACATAGTTTTGAGCTTATGCATGCAAGTGCATGCTGGGTTATGTCTTCTTTTGCTTCAGAGTCATTAGTTGTGTATGTTTTCTCTTGTACAGTAGTATCATTAAACAGGAAAATATTTCAATTTTTTTTTGTGTGACGAGGGCAGATGCCTCCCTTAATGAAAATCAACTTAAGCATGTCGATTTAATCCTTTTTCTATTAGGCTCAAGATACCCCTGTTTGGGATACAATGCTTAGTGCATATTACAAATTTAGAAGATAGTTGCCTTGTGCCCCTCTTGCCATGCTTCTACATTGGCAACAAGTTTAAGAATCTTTTTCCTGAAGCACTGATGAAGTCAGGATACTTGGCCTTGGATGCTTCCTTAAAGAGGCTCAACCCTGCAGTGAGTCAGTAAGGCCAGTGCCAAAGGAAAGCAGGGGAAGAAATACAGTGTAAACACTACCAAATAGCAAACTCAACATTGAAGTAATCAAACTAAAGTAGTGTGTGTGGATAATTGTTAAACTGTGATGCTACTATATGTAGTGTGAAATGATATAATGAAGGGAAGGAAACTATAAGGAGAAAGTGCCAAGCCATTTTGACTACAGCACTGGGAATGGATCAGGATACGGATTTGGGGATGGACGGGTGAAAGGAAGGCTAAAATGAATGGAAGTGTGATACTGTACAGTATATTTCGTTTCTTCAATACTATAACCTTTCAATATACAGTATTATTCATCTTTTACCTCTGGGTTGATGCCTCCCCATCTTATGTAAGTTGAAAATAGAGTAATGATAATAGATGGGTGGATGAACACTTTATTCAATAACAACACTGATGTGAGTAAACATGATTTTTCTTCTATGTGGCATCTTAAGAGTAAAGAAAACATTGTTGACCATTTGAAAGGTACACTGATATTATACAAACCAAAAACTGCATAACAAAAAAATACTGGAAACTAGTGGTTAGCAAACCAAGTAATAATGTTAAGTGTATACAGGCTTTTTATTTTTTGTTTTGGATTACCCACCCCATTTACAATGAACTTCAAAATACAAAGCTTGTTTATAAATTATAGGTAGAACTTTCAAAGATAAATTTAGTTTTGCTGTATAGTGATGAGAGCAACTTTTGACACTTTTACTGTTTGGACAACACGACCAAAATGTCAAGCATTATTATCAGAATGACAATGTTTACAAACAAGAGCAACAAATTCTAAGTAAGACATACGACATTTTATTATCTCACCCAGAAAAAAAAGCAAAATATAATATATAAATTAAATAAAATATAAAATTTATTTTGATATCTATGCCATTAAACTATCTCAAATGAAACAATGATGTCTGTTAATGATATCACCATACCAAAGCATTATCAATGGCCAAAAGAAACATCCTTTTCACCTGATGATTCACCTGGTTAGTTCAGGATAATCTTGGACACAAGAAAATTCAACCAATATGAAAGCTGTTGTTGACCAGTACACTACTCAAAAACTAGTAGTTTCAACACATTGTTAAAATCTTCATTTGCACACAATATGACACCCTTTAACCCTTGCACTGCGCACCTGGTTTGGCAAAAACTTCAAAGTGCAATTGTTAAGGATATATATTTTTGTTGTTTTTATAAATGTTCAGGTAAAGTTAATGTCAAAATGTTTCCAAACTAAACTATTTTCATTTCAAAATGCAAAGAGTAATGAATACCTTAAAAAACATTAAAATATAGCCTAATTAAAAAAAATATACAACTCTTATAACGACATTTGTTGGCCGGCGCAGTTGAGGGGTTAAGAGGTATACAGTGGTACCTCGGAATGCGATTGTCCCTGTATGCGAGGTTTTCAGAAGGCGAGGTGTATTTACTCCAAAAATTTGTCTCGGAAGGCGATGGTTACTTCGGGAGGCGAGTTTGGATGCGAGTTTGTTGATACGCGTACAGCCGACCTAGCGCGTGGTGGTTCGGCGATCGTCGCCCCTCCGCCCCGCCGCCCCTCAGTTTACCATTGCCTCGCGCTCAGTGACTACCCCCACATCAATTCTTGTCGCGGATTTTCAGTGTTTTGTTGGATTTTTCGTGATTTGTCTATACAATTTGTTATTATATATCTCACCATGAGTCCCAAGAAAGCCAGTGGTAAGGATAAAGGCCAGAAAGCTCATGTGAGGATGACAATAGAGGAGAAACAAGAGATCATTCGGAAGCATGAGAACGGTACACGTGTTGTTGAACTTTGTAGGCAGTACAACAAAGCCACATCAACAATATGCACTATACTTAAGAAGAAAAATAAGATTATGAGTGCTAATGTGGCAAAAGGAGTAAGAACATTAACGGCACAAAGACCACAAATACTTGAAGAAGTGGAAAAGTTGTTATTAATTTGGATACACGACAAGGAGTTGAGGGGTGATAGTGTTTCGGAGGCCATTATTTGTGAGAAAGCCAGGGTGTTGCACGAAGACCTTCTAAAGAAGACCCCTGCAACGAGTGATGCAGATAAGAAAGAGTTTAAGGCAAGCAGGGGCTGGTTTGAAAAATTTAGAAAGAGAAGTGGTATCCATAGTGTTACAAGGCATGGGTTTATGTGATGTGATTATGGAAGGGGACTCCCCTTCCAAACAGTAACTCCTCTCCTCCTCCCCCCTCCTCACCATCTTCCATACGCCTACAGCACTCGACAGCAAGGTAAGTAATAACTGGAACATAGTTTTGTAGGTTTATTTAGATGAATTAGGTAAATTAGGTATAAAAATTGAGTTTGATGTGGGGTTTTTGGGGTAGTCAGGAACGGATTAATTCATTTCCCTTTATTTCTTATGGGGAAATTAACTTCGGAATGCGAGTTTTCGGAAGGCGAGGCGTCTCCAGGAACGGATTAAACTCGCATTCTGAGGTATGCCTGTATTTATAACAAATTTATCATTATAAAAACTTACCACTTTCTTCCCATATAGCTGCTGTTCGGTCGAAGGAACAAGTAGCAATGATCTGGCCAAACTCAGGATGTGCCCAAGTCACTTTCCACACTGAGCCACAGTGAGTCTTCCAAGATGCAGAGCACACCCATTCCCCATCCTCGTTCAGGTCCCAGATCTGTTAATGTACTAATGTATGAAACAAGGAAATAATTCCTACCTGCCTCTCGGAAACATTTTAACTAAATATTACATGAATTAGAAGAGTGAGGTAAAATCACAACACAATTTCTTTTAGCTATTAAAAGGTTCTTAAAATGTTATCACTAACAATAATTTAATCTGGCTGATGAATGCAAGAAATATGACAATAGATGAGGAACAGTATAATATTCTATAAAATAATATATAATTCTTGTTGATAGGGGGCAGGAATCCTGTACTTAGGCTTATCAAGATTTTCTTACATCAACTACTGACCTTCCCTAGGATGTGACCCACAATATACTCACCAGTACCTAAATACTGCTAAGTTAACAGTGACATCAGGTGAAAGGAAATATACCCAATTGTTTCTGTCCTGACCGGGGACTAAACTCGGCTCCCTTGGTTATAAGCCGATGATGCTGACTATATCACAACTACCTGTATAATGTATCCTATACAACAATTAAAAAAAATTGAAAAAATCAACAGTTATAAATTACAATTATAACTCCCCCTCCCGGGAAGGGGAGAGCTGCATGGACAAACATCGCAGCTGCAAGGTGTGACGACTGCTTGTTTCCTTGGGATCTGGGAGAGTTCTGCCTCTCTGTTCGGTTTTCGGTTGCAATTTTCTTACCAAATGGGGTTTGTTATGTTATGCTTACCTTTCTGAGTGCCTAGCCCCAGTCGATGGCGGATTAAGAAAACCCCCAACCACAGTTTTTTTCCAGGATCCAATGCTCCTGTGTCTCTTTGAGGGGGCCAGGTTCTGGCTCATGGTCCCGGGTAGACTGAACTCCATTGACTAATGCCCTGGTCTAATATATCGCATATTAGCTCGATAGCTCCAGGGAGCCGAAGGGGCTCCTCTCAGAAATACAAGATAACCTTCTTTTAGGCAAGAATTTTAAAAATCCAATATTGGGCATCATAATTTTATAAGATACATCGCTGCTGACAAAAGTAAGATATATTCAGCGATAAAATAAATATGGTCCTGTGGCAGTCCAACCCGTCCTCTTAAAAATAACGTCGCTTTTGGCTCGTATGCGCGCTATGGCCAAAAGTGGACATAATTTGAAATGAGATCGACTCACAAAAGTGACGTACTGTCCCATTTTCTGTTTGAGTCGTCTGGCTTACCTGGAAAGGTTAGGAGAGGAAACTTTCAATTAACGTTTTTCATAACGTTTTGAAACTTTATGAGAATTTCGTGCCCACCTAATCTACCAGAGGACCCTTAACTTACTGTTGTTTAAAAAAAAAAAATCCCGAATTTATTTTCATTTTTTTTTTTCATTTTCAAATTACGTCCACTTTTGGCCATACAGGTAAACAGCCAAAACTGACATTTTTAAGAGGGCAGGTTGGGCAGTCAGGCCACAGCTGAAGAAAATCAGTTCTTTGGGCAATGCTTCCTTTCACCTGATGCCTCTGTTCGAGGAGCAGTAAACAGGTATCCACTAGCAGACAGTCGCAATAACATGGCTAAAGATATGATGACCAAACCCCACACCAGAAGTTGAACAGACGATGATGTTTCGGTCTGTCCTGGATCATTATCAAGGTGGTCGTAGGTGGTATCCACTCAGTCCGTCCTCTTACATATTACGTTGCTTTTCGTTCATCTGCGCACTCAGGATAAAAATTTATGTAATTCAAAGTCAAATCGGCTCACGAAAATGATGTACTGTCCTACTTTCTGTTTTGGGTCCTCTGGCTTAGTCTCTTGGGTTAGGCAAGGAAACTTTCATTTAACAGTTTTCATGACGTTTTGAAACCTTAGAACTTCCTGCCCTCATGACCTACCAGAGGACCCTTAACTTGCAGTTTTTTGGGAAACAAAATCCAAAATTTTAAATTATTTTTCATTTTCAAATTACCAGTATGGCCTTTTTTGGTTGTAATGCATATGAGCAAAAAGTGACATAATTTGTAAGAGGACAGGTTGATCCACTATGTACAATCCCCATGGCTAAGTGGCAAGACGCTTGCCTGTCGTTTCACGAGCTCTTTGTACTGGATTCGAATCCTGGCCAGGGAGGATTTACTGGGCACAAATCCTTAACTGTAGCCTGTGTTCACCTAACAATGAATGGGTACCTAGTTGTTAAACAATTTGGCGGGTCATATTCCGGGGAAAAATGGGATTAAAGACGTTCCCTGAAACGCTATAAGTGCTATAGTGGCTGTACAAGAGTAAGAACTCTTGTATATACTGTATAAATAAAAAAATAAAACAAAACTAGTGGATACCAGGTATCCACTAGTTGGCAATTGCATCCTGCGGAGGGTCAGTACTTGACCTGGAGAGACCTGGACAGGCGGAATAGGCTTGGTGTACCCGACTGCTGGGAACCTGAGTGACCACGAGAGGTCTGAGTGACCACAAGAGGACTGAGTGACCACGAGAGCACTGAGTGACCACGAGAGGACTGAGTGACCACGAGATGACTGAGTGACTACAAGAGGACTGAGTGACCACGAGAGGACTGAGTGACCACGGGAGGACTGAGTGACCACGAGATGACTGAGTGACTACAAGAGGACTGAGTGACCACGAGAGAACTGAGTGACCACGGGAGGACTGAGTCACCACGAGATGACTGAGTGACCACGAGTAACCTCACCTTGACACTCTGGTCACTGGAACACGTCGCCATGCGTCGTCCGTAGAAGTCAAAGGCCACATCATGGATGAGGTCCTTGTGCTCAGCGGTGAGGCTGCGAGCCACAAACATCACCACAGCAACAACCACTACAGTAACTCCTACAACAACAACACCCACAACAGTTCAAAACATCACTGGCCCGAAAAGAGCAACACTGAATAGAGCTGAATATCGCACGTTGAGTCCTTATTAACGAACCTAAGAGCCATCGTGCCACCATCATATATATATTTATGTCTTATTCGCTCATATAAATGCCTGATCATATGCACAAATTTAAACTAACAATGGGACATTATCTGAATTTTAACCATATAACCCAACATGTCTAATCGAACTGTTGGCGACACTTTCAACGGTATGAGCGTACGATACCGCCCAATGAGGCGTGGAATTATTATTTTCATATATTTATATATACAAGAGTTGTTACATTCTTGTACAGCCACTATAGCACGCATAGCATTTCAGGCAAGTCCTTAATCCTAATTTTTCCCTGGAATACGACCCGCCAAATTGTTTAACAACCATCCATTCACTGCTGGGTGAACAGAGGCTTTAGTTAAGGATTGGTGCCCGGTCAATCCTCCCCGGCCAGGATATGAACCCAGGCCAAAGCGCTCGCGAAGCACAGGGCGAGTGTTTTACCATTACGCCACAGGGACTGCTATTATTTAAATTAATAATATCCTTTACTTATTTATTAATTTAATAATATTAAAGTAATAATACCTGTGGCTTATTTGTAGCTACATATTATATATATATATATATATATATATATATATATATATATATATATATATATATATATATATATATATATATATATATATATATATATATATATATATATATATATATATATATATATATATATATATATATATATATATATATATATATATATATATATAATATATATATATATATATATATATATATATATATATATACATATATACATATATATATTGTGACGATAATCTCCTTCAAGAGATTGAGCCTGCTCTTCCCTCCACAATTACGTCGTTGTGGTTATATAAAACGACTATGGACGACATGTCCAACAATGACAACAACACCAGCAAGGCTTGCCAGGGTGAGCAAAACGTATGCAGCCAGCCACCTGTTCGGACCCAAACCACCAAACTACATGTTGATCGCTGCCGGCTCCGCTGATTGGTCGCCGGTCTGGCTGCACCTGCACTCGCCCCCCCATACTACTTGATGTCTGGGGTCGCCCCAACCTCGGACTTCAGAATGTTCAGTGCTCTCGTTGTCACCACTACTCCCGGCTAGACGCTAGCGTGTACTGAGAGAAGTGGTGGCTTAAAGCCAATATTCCAGCACCTCCCATTTACTTTGTATTGCACTTCTTGTTATTTTGCCTTAACGTAACTTTTCATTGTGTCATCTAATTATTCTTATTATTTTGATTGATTTTATTATAAGAATTTGTTTGTGCATTTTATTCATGTTTTGATTTAATTAACGTAATTAAAATTTCATTGTTAAAGTTTACTTGTGTTTTGTGTGTCTTCTCCTTACCTTACCACAGACGAAGTTCCAGTTTTTTCTATTTCAGATTCAGATTCAGATTCAGATTCAGATGTTTATTCAGGTAAGGTATATACATACAAGTGATGTTACATTAATGGATTGATATATAGATAGAGCTAGTACATACAATGCCTAAAGCCACTATTACGCAATGCGTTTCGGGCAAGAAAAACATTAATATCTAGAACTTAATACTAATTGAGCATAAAGAATAAAAGATGTTGAGAACAAATACAAATAAAGATAAAAAAAAGGGGGAACATGACTGAAAAAGCAGCACAAATACAATAGGTTGACAAACAGTGTTGATTAAAAAAAAGAAAAAAAAAAGAAAATAACAGACATGGGTTGACAATAGAGGAGTGAGGTAGATTACAGGGAATTTATTAGGTAGTGTTTAGTTTTTATCTTAAACTGGTTGAGAGAGGTACAGTCTTTAACATGGTTGGGAAGGTCATTCCACATTCTGGGCCCCTTGATTTGCAGAGCATTTCTAGTTTGATTAAGACGTACTCTAGGAATATCAAAACTGTATTTATTTCTGGTGTGGTGCTCATGGGTTCTGTTACAACCTTCTATGAAGCTTTTAAGATCAGGATTGGCATTATAGTTTAGCGTTTTATATATGTATAATACACATGAGAGAATGTGCAGTGACTTAATATCTAACATATTAAGAGATTTGAGTAGGGGTACCGAGTGATGTCTGGGGCCAGAGTTGGATATTGTTCTAATAGCGGCTTTGTGTTGGGTAATTAGAGGACGTAAGTGATTTTGGGTAGTAGAACCCCAAGCACAAATACCATAGTTGAGATAAGGATAGATAAGGGAGTAATAGAGAGTCACCAGAGCAGGGCGTGGTACATAATATCTGATCTTAGAAAGAATGCCCACAGTTTTTGAAACTTTTTTTGATATATTTAGAATGTGTCCCTGGAAATTCAGCTTGTGGTCAATGAGAATGCCAAGGAATTTGCCATCTAATTTGTTACAAATTTGGGTATTGTTTATTTTGAGATTTATTTTGAGATTTTTTTTATAACTATGTGACGAGGCCATACCCCTAGCCTTAAACAGCCGAACACCAACGCGTTACCGTCACAAGTTATATGGACAATATATATATATATATATATATATATATATATATATATATATATATATATATATATATATATATATATATATATATATATATATATATATATACATACATACATATATATATATATATATATATATATATATTATTAAATATGACCGAAAAAGTAAGATTAATAATTCTAACACGAATTTTCTCAATCTTTCGTACATTACGCTTCACTGTTGGAGGTAAATCAAAAATCACTTCTCCAAAATTCATTTTTATTTCTAGTCTGACGCGACACGGGCGCGTTTCGTAAAACTTATTACATTTCAAAGACTTCACAAATACACAACTGATTAGAACTTACGTATCTCTGCTATTATATCTACATTTGAGTGAGGTGGGAGGGATGATGTGGCATATAGTGATGTGGCATTAACACAAGACAGAACATGAGGGGATATTAATAGGGTATTAAAAGTATCAACACAAGACAGAACAGAAACAATGGGTATTGGATAGAAGTGTTTGTAGAAAGCCTATTGGTCCATATTTCTTGATGCTTCTATATTGGAGCGGAGTCTTGAGGTGGGTAGAATATAGTTGTGCAATAATTGGCTGTTGATTGCTGGTGTTGACTTCTTGATGTGTAGTGCCTCGCAAACGTCAAGCCGCCTGCTATCGCTGTATCTATCGATGATTTCTGTGTTGTTTACTAGGATTTCTCTGGCGATGGTTTGGTTATGGGAAGAGATTATATGTTCCTTAATGGAGCCCTGTTGCTTATGCATCGTTAAACGCCTAGAAAGAGATGTTGTTGTCTTGCCTATATACTGGGTTTTTTGGAGCTTACAGTCCCCAAGTGGGCATTTGAAGGCATAGACGACGTTAGTCTCTTTTAAAGCGTTCTGTTTTGTGTCTGGAGAGTTTCTCATGAGTAGGCTGGCCGTTTTTTCTGGTTTTATAGTAAATCGTCAGTTGTATCCTCTGATTTTTGTCTGTAGGGATAACGTTCCTATTAACAATATCTACAGAAGCACCATACTGCCCCCCGAGCTTAAAGCGGCAGCTAAAAGCCTTCGTGAGAACAAGGAGATAGTTGTCAGGAGAGGTGACAAGTCGCCAATATATGTCATTCTTAAAAAAGACGAATATCTGGCGAAAATGAACATCATACTCTCTGACCAAACTAAGTTCCAAAGGGTAACGAAGGACACTACAGCCGAATTAAAAGCAAAGGTCAACAAACTGATCGAAACTGTGAACGCCAAGAAATCCGGACTCCACCTGCCAAAGATCATTGGGGAATATAAACCTGGATATGCGTATGGAAATGTCAAGACGCACAAGCCTGGAAACCCACTTCGGCCAATCATTAGCCAGATACCCACACCCACGTACAGACTGGCGAAGCGACTCAACGGCCTGCTGACTCCTTATGTTCCTTGCGCCTTCAGCCTGAAGTCTCCAAAGGAATTTGTGGACTTACTGCGGGGCACACGGGCCACAGGGATAAGAGCCTCGTTGGACGTAGAATCGCTGTTTACCAACGTACCTGTGGACGAGACAATCGGAATGATAGCCGACAGAGTGTATCGTGATCCAGCCTGTACTCCTCTTGACATGCCAGAAAGTATTCTGAGGAAACTACTCCAAGCTTGTACTAAAGAGGCACCCTTCTTGAGCCCGGATGGGCACATGTATAAGCAAGTAGATGGGGTCGCCATGGGTTCTCCCCTAGGTGTCCTGTTTGCAAACTTCTACATGGGTACCATCGAGCAAAAAGTCTTAGTCGACATGAACTTGAAACCGGCCATATACTGCAGGTATGTTGACGACATTTTTACACAGGTACCTGATGTCAGACATCTGCAGGAGCTGAAGGAGGCATTTGAGCAGAGTTCCGTGCTGCGTTTCACTTACGAGACGGAAAAGGATGGGAGGCTGCCTTTTCTAGATGTAACAGTCATGGAAAAGGGCGGAGGTTTCCACACTGCAGTCTACACTAAGGAAACAAACATAGGAATGTGCCTAAATGCCAACAGCGACTGCCCTGACAGGTACAAGAGGAGTGTTGTTAACGCATACGTCGACCGTGCTCTCAGCCACAGCTCAGAATGGAAGCAAGTCGACGAAGAACTCTGTAGGGTAAGGCAGGTTCTAGTCAATAACGGCTTCTCCAATGGTTTCATCGAAGACATCATAAGAAGGAAAGTGAAAAGCCATGCAACCTCTGAAGAGACAACTAACACAACACCTATACCCCCTATTAGACTATTTTACAGGAACTTCTTTTCCACAGCTCATAAAACGGAGGAAAGGGTCCTGAAAGATATTGTTAATAGGAACGTTATCCCTACAGACAAAAATCAGAGGATACAACTGACGATTTACTATAAAACCAGAAAAACGGCCAGCCTACTCATGAGAAACTCTCCAGACACAAAACAGAACGCTTTAAAAGAGACTAACGTCGTCTATGCCTTCAAATGCCCACTTGGGGACTGTAAGCTCCAAA